GATTTAAGCATGAAATATTCTAAAAAGGAACAATTCTAAGACATAGATTATGCAAAAATAAATGTATTTACAAAGGCAAAAGCCAACATCAGTTATTGAGTGCACCTGCAAGCTTTCAGCTGCCCAAAGGAACAGTGAAATGCAAATATAAATAAGTTTTGTTTACTTACATTTTCAAGATGCAGGTTTGCACAAAACATCTGGGGCCACACAAGTACCCAAAGTGCTTCAATTTGGATTACAGAACAAACATTTTTGACAACCTCATGTCAGCTAAAAGCAGGAGGATTTTGGTGCCAAAGCTGGTCCATGACCTTAAATTAGATTGCTTGTTCCTGCAGCCCAATGACAGCATAAGGCTTTCTGCTGTTTGATGGAGGTTTGACTTTACACACACTTAGGGAAAAAAGAATTAAAATAAATCTTTGTTGTATGTCTTTGTACACAAAGGCTTTGAAGCTGAACTCCCAGACAGTGTGAGCACAAGGAGCAGCATTTGATTAACAGAGATTTTAAAGCACAGCAGCTTTTCAGGACTGGTTAAAATAAGTAGGTTCAGCATGTTGTGGCTGTTTCAGTCTGCCATGAGACTGATTGTGGGACAGGACTCACTGAAATACTGTTAGTTTGTGCCACTCACACCTCACTCCCAGAGGCAGCTCTTATAGCATCTCTCTCATGAGCATCACATGCAGAACCAGCTCTGTGGAGCACTTTACCCAGCCCAAGGTACCCAATCCCACCTCTGGTGTTCAGCCTTGATTCTGAACAGAGACTGTTCATCTTGTCTCATGGAAGTACCTACACACCTTGAAGGTACCTGGGGACTTGACTAGAGCACGAGCTCTTAAGCTTTATCTCCACGGCACAACTTACTTCCAACAGCATCTCCCAAGTGGCTTTCCTGCCTGCACAGATCAACCGATGCCTCCTAACTCAGCATACACTTGGGCTATTAACAGCTTTGCTGGGCTTTCCAACTCCCTAGAATGATCTGTACAAAGCTTTCTACACAACTCATATCCTAACCCTTCCAGCACACTGATTAACCGACTCGAAATTCCTGGAGCTTTCCAAGTTGCCTTGAACAAGAGGTGCCTGCTCCCTAGAAACAGGCTGTAATTACATCTGATTTGGGGATCTAGAAGGTTCCTTTGTTTAAATATCCAGCTGTGGCTGTACCCAGGGAAACAATTCATTCTCCAACTCAACACACAGGGGGTTAAACCAGCTTAAAATGCAACGCTATGGTTGTGTTAAGAGGCTACAATAGCCTTTTGAAGGATAAATATCAATCAGAAGAGACTTGCAGAAGTCAAAAAGGTTCATTAAGGTCCTTCCATTTTGTTTAGGCTCTTTAGAAGTATTCAGTCATTACAAAATTAGTGCTTCTGGCTGCCAAGTGACTTGCTGAAGGCTGTGCTGCTGAAGCCCAGCCCAGCTGGCACTGAAGCAATGGGCATGCAAACTGCTATGGCAATTTGGGTGATATGGATGTCTGCCTGGCAGGGAACTGCAAGAGTGATTAGGGACCTGAGAAGAAAATTGGTCCCAAGGAAAAGCAAGTGGGATGTAAGTAGAATAGACAGCGTGGCTATTTGGAAGCATTTTAGAAGCTTACAACAATTTTTTTTTAACAGAACTAGAGAGAAAATACAGTATACAGATGCAACGAATCTGATCTTGGTGGTGATGGTGAGGAACTTATGAGGGGTTTTTTTAAATTTTTTTATATTAGGAGGGTTTGTACCCGTGGGAGTTAGAGAGACCATCACTTGCACAATACCTACATGTGACTCTAGCCAGCTGCTTCCACATGCAATGCAGAACCTGACACCACTAACTCAGATTCATAAAGTGATATTTCTTGGTATGTACTTTGCAGGGAATTTTTCTTTAATAAACATTGATAAGGCTTTTGGGGTTGTTTCTTCCTAATAACATTGACACAATTGCAGTGCTTCTAGAGAGCTGCAAATTCACTAGCACATCACTGAGCCTCCCAGGCTGGAGCAGCAGTGCTGGGACTGGTGTCAGGGTCTGTGCTCCTTGTGACACCTCACTACAGTAGTGCTGCACGAGTTCCTACTCTGACCTTCTTTCTTCTGGTGTTGCTTAAGTCTTCTGCTTCTACCTGGACCAGTACTGTAGGTCACAGGAAAGAATCAGAGAATCACAGAATGTTATGGGGTTGGAATGGACCTTAAAGATCATCTCCCAACTCCCTTCCCTGGACAGGGCCACCTCCCACCAGACCATCCAACCTGGCTGTGAACACTGCCAGGGTTGGGGCAGTCACAGCCTCCCTGGGAAACCTGTGCCAGTGTCTCACCACCCTCACAGGAAAGAATTTTTTTCTAATATCTAACCTCAGTTTCCCTTCTTTCAGTTTGTACCCATTGCTCCTAGTCCTATCACTCCTGTTCCTAACCAAGAGTCCCTCTGCAGCTTTCCTGGAGCCCCTTCAGATCCTGGAAGTTTGCTATGACATCTCCATGCAACCTTCTCTTCTCCAGGCTGAACAGCCCCAACTTAGCCTGTCTTCACAGGGAACAAGCTCCAGTCTTCTTATCAGTTTTATGACTTCCTCTTGACTTGCTCCAGAACTGAAAACCCATTGGAGATTAGCCACTAACCTTTTTTTTTTCCATCTTTAACCAACAGGTCAGCTGATCTCAGTTCAATGATACTGAAACATGGCTGAACCCTGCCTAATAAAAATGGGGTTTATCAGACAAGATGTTTGTGATGCCAACTGCTGTCTGCAGGTATAATGCATCATTCAAAGTGTTCAGGCATTGTATGAGTTCCATATCCATGGACCCCCATGTTCCAAATGGAGCCAACTACCTTGAGGGTGCCCTGACCATCAATCCAGGTTATGTGTATCTGCTGTCCTGTATTTTTAGCTGCAGCTGATGCAATTGTCTCATGTAGAATGGGAAGGTTCTGTATGAATTTCACATGTAAGAAGGGACAGAAAACATTTTCATTCATGACAATCTTCAGGCACTCTCAGTTTCAGTGTTTCTAACACTTGGATTCACATCTTTTTGGAGATAAGGGGAAGGAGGAAAAGGAGGAAGAGTTTGAATTCACCTTGACTTCTCTTTGTCTTCAGCTGCCAAATATGCAGAGTCATTATCAGAAAAGAAAAATTTGTTTGTGCCTCCACTGAGACTTGAGCAATGACATGACTTGAGGGGCAAAGGCACTGTCATGATGCATCACTACCCTGGAGGCAGCAAAGTGTCTCTACGCAGCTGCTCAGCCAGAAAAGCTACTCAGTTTGCTGAAGTCCTTTCAATGAGCTGAGCCCAAGGCAATATTTTAGTAGGAAACTGCTTCTTTAAAAATTAAAAGGAATTATTTTTGCATCATTTGCATCATTTGGCTTGGGTTATTTTAAATGTGTTCTATTATAGGTCACCTATGTTGCCAGAAAAAAAAATGAACTCACAAGAGGTTCTATTCAGTTTAATTCCTTTAAAATACAGCTTTATTGACTCATTTCTTAGACATCTTCAAAACCCATGAAACGACAAGGATTGGCTCTATTTTAGCACTGACAGGTGACATGCAACCTGCACATATTTCCACAAGTGTCTCAACAGTGACCAACAAAAAATGACTTTGTGCTTAGTCAAGGATTTCAGCCTGGCTGAAATGGCATCAAATTAGCAAGAGAAACTTCTATTCATTTATTTCCCATATCAAACTCAGTCTGTCCTTTATGAACCAGCTGGAGAGATGACCTAAAAGTGCAGTTCCATTCAAACCTCTGAGAAAGTTGCTCTCTCTGGTTCATTCTGCAGTGTAAGAACTCTTTGATGTTAAACCTGCCTGATTTTTTCCATTTGACCACCACTGTGATAGAGACGACCAGTACTAGCAAGGAGATCTAGGAGTGACATGTCACAAGACATGCTGTTCTGAGCTGAGCAGCTGGATGGGAAGAGGAGAGGAACAGAACCTCATTGGTGATGGCAGAGTTGCTCCTTCCAATATAACTCTGTAGGATAAAGTATTCACCCAGCATATGAGAGACAGCAAAACAAGGGGTTCTTGCCCTTCTGTGTCAGAAAATGCTGCACAAGCCCACAGTGAGGCCTTTTACATCACCACAAAAGCAAAATTTTGTTTAACTTTCTTTGTTCTTAGAGTGGTAAATGCTGAACCTATAAACTGACACAGGCTGAGCCAGCACTGCTGCACAACTTTCTGCTATTTAATCAAAGTGTCTTTCCCTTCTCTTGTAGGACTGTCTCTCATTTCACAGATCCTCTGAAGCACTCCCTCCTTTTACATTCCTCTTCCACAGAGTTGAGTGACCATAACATTATGGAAAGTTCCACCAGAAGCACATGACAATAGAACACTGTTGTCCTTACCAAGAAATATCACCTCTGGCATACTCCAGAATCACACTGATTTGTTTTTTCCCTCATCCAGCACAGGATGGTCAGTGATAACCCTCTAACCTTCTGTACACTTTCTTTGGCATCAGGGACATGGTTGGCATGGACAACTGTATCACTGAAAGGTTCAACAAGAAAGACTCTAAAATAAGACAAGACTTAGTGGTTACATCCTGCTGAGATTGCCAGGAAGTATTATGAGTGGTAGAAAGGCAAAGAGGAATTAGTTACAGTATTTAGGTATAAAGCCTAACAGTGTTTTAACTCAAGGGAGAAAAAAGGAAAGAAAACAGACCTTGGAGATACTGCAGAAGGAAAAAGGGCAGGAACTGAACACTCGAGGCATAGGGGAATATGTGGCTCGCAGTTTGCCATAAATATTGGAAAGAAATCTTTTCTCTTTCTCTTTTGAGCTGGAAAAGTTTTCCAGTGGTAGCAGCAGACTACCTTGAACATTCTTATCTATTTTAATCAGGCTTCTTTCAGCACCTGCTGACAGCTCTCAGAGCTCAGGATTAGCTTAAACACATATGAAAAGGGCCCTGTAGCACATATTCCTTGACAACAATCTGTTCTCCTCACCTCATAGAGTGTAATGATGCCATTTGTCTCATTTGGAGGCTTCCACTGAACATAGATCTTCTCTTCAAAAGGTCCTCCCTGGATGGATTCCAAGGGAACAGGTCCAGGAACTACAGGGGAAAAAAAACCCCAACAAACTGTGTTAAAATCTACCACCAGCTCCAGCTGCACACACATGAGAAGACACCAAAAGGGCACCAGACAAGAAGTTCAGAGTTAAAAATAAACAATCAAATGAATAAATGAATAAAATGAAGAACAAAAATCCCTCGAGGCACTAGAATACCAAGGCATTATCAATATGAAAGGATTGACTCACAACTTTCAGTTCAACTAAGAATACCCTAACCTAACACTAAGTGAGAAATAAAACCAGAGTCCATAAAAATATGAAGCTAATTCCAGTATGTTTCTATTTCAGTACAGCAAAGCAGCTGCAGGGAATTTAATTTGTCCTTCTCCACCCACACAACAGCAAAGCTCTCTCCATCTAAACAGCCAGATTGCACCTTGGCATAGAGATGCTACTGGGCTGCACACCTTTATCAACATGAAAGATTGATTTGCCTAGTAAAGTAACAATGTAAGATTTATATTTCATTAGGGCTCCGAGGCCAGCTACAAAATTCACCTACTCAAGCAAAATTCTAATGCTGTAGAAGATCACTAACTAAACACACTCCCAAGCCTGTCTGATAAAACCCTGCTCATTTTTCTCAAAGATCTGCCATCCTCCTCTGATGGCAGAATGATATACTGGGCTGGAAGAGCCACTTTCAGCTGAGAGAAACTTAGGACAGCAGCTCCTTCCAGCCCAGGCAGAGGAAGAAGCTGTATTTTACATGTTAGACAGGAGGGAGGATGGTAGTGCATCAGAGTCCTTGGTCTGAAATAGCTCAGGTGGGACAACCACACTTTGAGTTTTCCATCACTTCTTCCAGAAACCTGCATTTTTGTGTCCAAAACAGAAGAGTTTACATCAAATTAATTTTGCTTCTGAAATCTATACAAAATAGGAAGTACAGAAATCAGTATTAAGAAAAGTACACCCTGGAAAGGAAGACATTATACCGCTTTATGGGACATCTTCTCTTGTGAAGGCACAGGAAAAACCAACAAATGCTAGGATTACATTTGCCCATATGACAAAGGAGGCTGCTGGGTGGTTCCAGGGTAGTTCAGAACATGAAGAATTAAAGAGATAATTGGTAACTACTCAGACTGGTGTTTGTCATGTCCACACCTACAAAATTTACTTGCAAAACACACTGTCCATAGAAGACATTTCTAATCTCATGCAACTGAGCGTTATGTTGCTATTTACAACTTGAACATGAGTCTTCCCCCCAGAACCAAGAAGCAAACCCAACGTGACTTACCATCCTCCTCGGTCTGCACGACCAGCTCCTCACTTTCCATTTTGCCCTCTGGGTTCGAGAGGGCTAACCTCAGCCTGATGGTCATGAAGGGTCGGAGACCTCGCAAGGTGTAGTGGGAAGAAGTTTGGATGAGTTCCTCTGCCTCAAATTTTTGCTGGTTGAACACATACTGGTACTGGACCGTGAGGTTGTAGCTGTGGCAGCGAGTCACGGCGTAGCCGAAGGGTTCCCACTGCAGCGTCAGCTGCCGGGAACGAATGTCAACAACTTCCACGTTCTGAGGCCCATGGACAGGATCTGTGAGGCAAGCACAGAAAAAGATATGTACTTTCAAACAAGTCAGTCATCCATTAATGTGCTTCCTTCCATATGTCCAGAGTATCCAAACACTTCACACTTCTGAATGTTCTTGTCTTTATAACGTGTAAGTCATAGGGAAATGAATGTCAGATCCACAAATGCATTCTGGCTCCTGAGTTTTCCATGAAAATCTACTGTCACAAGGCCCTGAAACCTCACTGAATCCAATAATGCCAACATGATTCCATCAGCTAAGGGAAGAAAGTGTAACTTTCCACCCTTCTTATAAAAAGAAGTAAATAAAAGTGGTGAGACACTGTCCCAGGTTGCCCAGGGAGGCTGTGGCTGCCCCAGCCCTGGCAGTGTTCACAGCCAGGTTGGCTAAAGCCTTGAGCAACCTGCTCTGGAGGGAGGTGTCCCTGCCCAGGGCAGGGAGGGTTGGGACTAGGTGATTTGTAAGGTTCATTCTAACCCCTAAAATTCTATGGTTCTATGATTCTATGAAAACAGTAGTTGATGGTCTGTCTGACAGTGCCTAAGGACCTTGGTGAGTCCAACCCTAAGTGATGCAAACACATAGGAAATGGCCCCCAGAGAAGGAATGCACTCAAGATTCTCAGCTTTCAGCTTGGATCTGTAGCCCCTACACCCTCCTGCCACCCCTGAACTCTTTCTGCCCAGAGGCTGAAGCCCAAGAGTGCACAAATCAAGACTAAGAGCCTAACTGTTGGGCTGCCAACATCCCAGTGCTACTGTCCCCTCATGTTGTTTAAGCTCCTGAATGTTCTGAGGGCATATGAGCAGAACATGCCACTCCTGGAGAAACTTTTCTGAGTCATCTCAACCTTGTGCCAATAAAACTTTTATTTCAGATCATATCCAATCCTTGGTCCCAGCAAAGTTTCTTTGCTCTTTATTATTCTTTCTACAGTATGTGGCTGAGGTACACTTTGAATATTCATGTATAGGAATCATTTTCACCTGCTGTTCCTTAATTTATTTTTAACAGCATAACTCAAATGCTCTGACTACACTCTGCCCTTTATATCAAATATAAATGCATGTACCACTAGAGATGTAGGTATAAAGAATGAAGGATGAGTGAGTAAAATCAGTGTTTGAGAGATGGCAATAATACTACAGATGTCATAATTTGTTTATCTGATATTTCTTCAACTTGTATAGCTCAACCTGTGTTTGCTTTTTTTGCTCAATACATAGCTAAACAAGGTAATTAGAAAATACATAATTCCACATAAACATTCTTGATTTATAGCACAATTCAGGGTTCTGCCCACTTATCTCACGACTTCAACCTATGAAAAGAACATTTTCATGGGAATAAGAAAGTTGGAAGAACTCCTGAATACTAGTTATACTTCTTTGAAAGATAATTAAGGTGCAAAAAAAGCCTTCTAGTAATTCTTGAAAGTAGAGCATGCACCAGCCACACTGACTTCAATCTACTCCTGCACAGGCAGAAAATATACTGGAACAACCTGCATATTCTGTCTTTGCTAAAAATCCCCTAAAGACTGGCCATGAAAAAGTATCCTGCATCTTTATATAGAGACACAGTTATGCAGACACTTGGAAATAGGATGGATGTTAAGAGCTCAGGGGTCCAAAGCTAACAGCTGGTTTAGGATTCCATAGAAATCATGTCAATCCCTTAGCATGCAGAAAACACCTCTTAAATGAGAGTCTTCAGTACTGTGTGTCGCAAGAAAAGATGTAATTTAGAGATTAGGAAGTGTCTATGCATGAATATACACAAATATACTTAGCATCAGGTGCTAAACATTCATTTACTAGGACCCCATGATAAGAACATATCTGTAGATGATTTGTGTAGACAAGTCAACCAAAGAATGGCTCGGAAACCTTTCAGCCTCTGAAACAGTAAAAGCAAGCCCAAGCCTCATTCCAAGATGCATCAAAAGGAAAGAAAACTAAAAGCAGATGCAGATGTTTGTCCTTGCCCTTCTGAAGTCACTACACCAAGCAATCAGCTGCAGCCCCAACCCAGAATGTGGCTGAGACACAGCAAAACATTCCACACCGAGACAATGACGTGGCTAAGATGGCAATTAACCTCCAAGTCATTCTATATTGCCTTCATTTTTTTTTTTTTCAATTACAGTGATTTTCTTTTAAGTCAGTGATGTTATGGAATGAATCAGTAATTAGAGACTGTTTGGTTTATTGATGTCAGATGTGCTGACCACACCAGTGAGTAAGGACTTGATTCAGCATCATCTCACCAAGTCATCTGCCCAAACCTGGACTAGGGGAGATTGCCTGCAGTTTTTACCTTCCTTTCTCATCCTGCTCACATTTGCCCTTTCCTTTCCTACCCAAAACTGTAACTATTGGAAGTTGCCTTATATCAACCACTTCGTAATTCTACTCAAAATGTTACTGTAAATGCTGTCAGCTCCATCCTGAGGAGCCTTTGGGTTTGTGACACACTGTTGTCAATAGAGCAACCAACCTATGATCCACAGGTGGCTTTGGGTGACAAAGCAAGAAGCTAAAATACAGAGAACATAGTGCAGACTCCACTACAAAGCCACAGAACATACAACATTCTCCCAAGAACTATCTGTTCAGATACTTCTGACAAGGTGAGGTTTTTAGTCCTGTGGAAAAATGTGATCCTGATGCTGTTCCCAGTGAGAGCAGGAAGGGGATGCAGGTCTCAAAGACCTTTTTAGTCTAGGGTGTCCCTGGCTGCAGGTGTAGAGACTTGACATCTATTGGCCTTCTAGATTCTTGAGCAGAGTGGGAATAATTAAGTAAAACTGCTTATATTTTAGGTTCAAAAAGGAAGAAACAAAACTGGAATTAAATCAACAAATAGAAGACAGGCTAGGAAAGATTTATATTCTCCCTGGTTTTCTTCGTTCAGTTTCAATTTCTGCAAACTGAGACTATGTTATTTTGAAGATCTTTTCCTGTTGCCACACTGATTTCCTCTGCAGCTGATGCCATTGAAACCTCATTTTTAAAGATGAGAGTTTGTACTGTCATTTCTGTAGGACATTGGTCCTACAATCCTCTCCATTTAATTCCTCCTGCACATAAGCTTGGTAAGTGTTCAGTCTTAAAAAGTCTGTAATACTTAACCCTGGGATTTACTAAGATCACCCATTTGTCACAATATCTTAATGACTTGTTTTCCCCCCCAAAAGAAAATGAAGTCCGTAAGTTTTTATAATTGACCTACAGTCTCTGGTAGTGGTGAATATTTGAACCTGGACAAACAGCTTCAAACAACATATTTCTGTATTCCTGGAATTACAGTTTCCAAATAATGCAAGAAAATACCTGAAAATTAGTAACATTGTACTTCGCTAGTGGCATAAAAGCTACTATTATGTATCTCAGCTTCAACTGTACAAAAATACCCACAAAAGCAAGGCAGAAACAAACTGGCCCAGTTGGAAAAGTTAAGAGAACAGATATAAAAAGACATTGGCATAAACTGCATAATCTGAAGTACAATTTTCTAAGTGTCCTGAGACTTTGAAATTATACAAAGGAAATTCTAAAGAGGCCAAAGCAGTAAAAGAGCTGCCACCAACCTACTAAAATTAGTCTTGAATCCACACAAGGAAAATGGCAGTCTCTGGGATTTCACTAAAAGAAGAAATGGCCTCAAATTGTGCCAGGGGAGGCTTAGATTGGATATTAGGGGAAATTTCTTCACTGAAAGGGTGGTTAGGCATCGGAACAGGCTGCCCAGGGAAGTGGTGGATTCACCATCCCTGGAGGGATTTTAAAGACATGTAGATATGGCATTTGGAGACATAGTTCAGTGATGGACTGGGCAGTGCTAGAGGAATTGTTGGACTTGATAATCTTAAGAGGTCTTTTCCAGCCTAAATGATTTGATGATTCTAAGTGGCCTGAACAAAACAAACACTCCCAGTGACCCTTCAGCTGTACTCTCTCTGTCCTCAGTGCAGGTAAGGAGACATTGTTGACCCAACATAGATATGAAATGTTCGGAGTCTTCTTTTTTTGCCATCAAAATCTCACAGAGAAGACAACTTTTATGGCCAGTTTTGCTCTTTCCTTATTGAGTGTCACAGACCTCATTTTGTTCACTGTAGTCCTCTTGCTCAAGGTGAGGTGTAGAAAAGAAAAGGTTGATTTAGATTATCAATAACCATTGTCTTGGCTTTATACACCTCCATCAGGAGAGGAACAAAGAGGAAAGGAAGCCATGGTGAGACCCTGGGATTTGAACACAGAGCTCAAGTTGAGGAGTGAAGTTAAATGCAGACAATCAGCTGCTGCCCCGAGGTTAACTACCTGTGCAGGAGCCTAATTGCAAGAAATTGCTGCTGTCAGTAAAGACATGACATTGAGTGGAAGATGTCTGTACTCATCTGGGGCCCTGTGCCCGTGTCTCCTGACCCTATGGAGAGCAGGAGGCAGAGTTTATTAGCAGTGCAGGTGGCCACTGATTAAATTCTGTTTCCCAGCAGTAGGTTACAGAGGCTGAGAGTGCACAAAGGGAAGAAAAATGAGCACAACATCAGCAGCAGCTTTGTGTGAATCCTGAACCGATACTTTCCGATACAGGAAGAAAATAGGTGTAAGTGTGATTTCTGCCTTGCTCTTAGCACACCCACACTGGAGCTCATCAGGCTGTCACTCCAACCAGCACAGGCCAGCCAACATCTGGGCACGCAGGCAGGCTGGGAGGAGATAAGCAGAAAACTGAATGCATTGGTAGTTGTTAAGGTCACCAAATCTGGTGGTCTCCCAACCACCAATATGGTACAGCCTCCCTCTATAGTCCAGAAAAAATGTTTAAATTCATTTTCACCTACAAAATATTGATTTGGCAATATCACAGGATGGTGGAAAACTGCATAGAATGTTTCACTCTCATAATATATTGAAACAGTGGCCATTTTTCAAGCAGCAGCAACAAAAAACTCCTAATCAGAGAATCACTGAAAGGCTTGGGTTGGATGAGACCT